GACACAACATGCCAGAATCTCTGGGACACATTTAAAGCAGTATCTAGAGGAAAATATATAGGAATAAGTGCCCATATGAGGAGAATGGAGAGATCCAAAATTGACACCCTATCGTCAAAATTGAAAGAGCTAGAGGAGCAAGATAAAAAAAACTCAAAACCTAGCAGAAGACAAGAAATAACTAAGATCAGAGCTGAACTGAAGGAGATAGAGACACAAAAAACCCTTCCAAAAAATCAACAAATCCAAGAGCTGGTTTTTTGAAAAGATCAACAAAATAGACAGACCACTAGCCAGATTGATTAAAAAGAAAAGAGAACAACCAAATAGATGCAATAAAAAATGACAAAGGGGAAATCACCACAGATTCCACAGAAATTCAAACCATCATCAGAGAATATTACAAACAACTCTATGCACATAAACTAGTAAACCTGGAAGAAATGGATAAATTCCTGGACACCTGTGTCCTCCCATGCCTAAACCAGGAGGAAGCTGAAACTATGAATAGACCAATAACAAGGTCAGAAGTCGAGGCAGCAATTAAGAGACTACCATACAAAAAAAGCCCAGGTCCAGACGGGTTCACAGCCAAATTCTACCAGACACACAAAGAGGAGCTGGTACCATTCCTACTGAAACTATTCCAAATAATCCAAAAAGAGGGAATCCTTCCCAAATCATTTTATGAGACCAATATCATCCTGATACCAAAACCTAGCAGAGACCCAACAAGAAAAGAAAACTTCAGGCCAATATCCATGATGAACATAGATGCAAAAATCTTCAATAAAATACTAGCAAGCTGATTACAACAGCACATCAAAAATCTTATCCATCATGATCAAGTAGGATTCATCCAGGGGATGCAAGGCTGGTTCAACATATGCAAGTCTATAAACGTAATTCACCACATAAACAGAACCAAAAACAAAAACCACATGATTATCTCAATTGACACAGAGAAGGCATTCAACAAAATTCAACAGCCCTTTATGCTAAAAATCCCTCAATAAACTTGGTATCAATGGAACGTATCTCAAAGTAATAAAAGCTACTTAAGACAAACCAACAGCCAATATCACACTTAATGGGCAAAAACTGGAAGCATTCACTTTGAAATCCGGCACTAGACAAGGATGCCCTCTTTCACCACTCCTATTCAATATAGTACTGGAAGTTCTAGCCAGAGCAATCAGGCAAGAAAAAGAAATAAAGCACATTCAAATAGGAAAGGTGGAAGCCAAATTGTCTCTATTTGCAGATGACATGATAGTATACCTAGAAGACCCCATCGCCTCAGCCCAAAAAATTTCTGAAACTGATAAGCAACTTCAGCAAAGTCTCAGGATATAAAATCAATGTGCAAAACTCACAAGCATTCCTCTACACCAATAACAGACTTAAAGAAAGCCAAATCAAGAACAAACTGCCATTCACAATTGCTACAAAAAGAATAAAATACCTAGGAATACAACTCACAAGGAACATAAGGGACCTCTTCAAGGAAAACTACAAACCACTGCTCAATGAAATAAGAGAGGACACAAACAGATGGAGAAACATTCCATGTTCATGGTTAGGAAGAATTAATATGGTGAAAATGGCTATACCTCCCAAAGTAATTTACAGAATCAATGCTATCCGCATCAAGCTACCATTGACTTTCTTCACAGAACTGGAAAAAACCACCATGAACTTCTATGGAACCAAAAGAGAGCCCGCATAGCCAAGTCAATTGTAAGCAAAAAGAACACAGCGGGGGGCATCACACTACCGGATTTCAAACTATACTACAAGGCTACACTAATCAAAACAGCATGGTACTGATACCAAAACAGAGATATAGACCAATGGAACAAAACAGAGGCATCAGAGGCAACACAACATATCTACAACCATACAATCTTTGATAAACCTGACAAAAACAAGCAATGGGGAAAGGATTCCCTGTTTAATAAATGGTGTTGGGAAAACTGACTAACCATGTGCAGAAAGCAGAAACTGGACCCCTTCCTGACACCTTACACTAAAATTAACTCCAGATGGATTAAAGACTTAAACATAAGACCTGGCACCATAAAAACCCTAGAAGAAAATCTAGGCAAAATCATTCAGGACATAGGCATAGGCAAGGACTTTATGACCAAAATACCAAAAGCATTGGCAACCAAAGCCAAAATAGACAAATGGGACCTAATCAAACTCCACAGCTTCTGCACGGCAAAAGAAACAGTCACTAGAGTGAGTCGGCAACCAACAGAATGGGAAAAAAATTTTGCAGTTTACCCATCTGACAAAGGGCTGATATCCAGTATTTACCAAGAACTCAAACAGATTTACAGGAAATAAACAAACAAGCCCATTCCAAAATGGGCAAAGGATATGAACAGACACTTTACGAAAGAAGACATATATGAGGCCAACAATCATATGAAAAAATGCTCATCATCACTGGTCGTCAGAGGGATGCAAATCAAAACCACATTGAGATACCATCTCACGCTAGTTAGAATGGCGATCATTAAAAATTCTGGAGACAACAGATGCTGGAGAGGATGCGGAGAAATAGGAACACTTTTACACTGTTGGTGGGAGTGTAAATTAGTTCAACCATTGTGGAAGATAGGCCTCAAGGCCTTAGAAATAGAAATTCCATTTGACCCAGCAATCCCATTACTGGGTATATATCCAAAGGACTATAAATCATTCTACTATAAGGACACATGCACACGAATGTTCATTGCAGCACTGTTTACAATAGTAAAAACCTGGAATCAACCCAAATGCCCATCGCTGATAGACTGGATTGGGAAAATGTGGCACATATACACCATGGCATATTATGCAGCAATCAGAAATGATGAGTTTGTGTCATTTGTAGGAACATGGATGAATCTGGAGATCATCATTCTCAGCAAACTGACACAAGAACAGAAAATGAAATACTGCATATTCTCACTCATAGGCGGGTGCTGAAAAATGAGAACACATGGACACAGGGAGGGGAGTACTAAACACTGGGGTCTGTTGGGGGGAAAAGGGGAGGGCCAGTGGGGGGGGCTGGGGAGGGATAGCCTGGGGAGAAATGCCAAATGTGGGTGAAGGGGAGAAAGGAAGCAAAACACACTGCCATGTGTGTACCTATGCAACTGTCTTGCATGTTCTTCACATGTACCCCAAAACCTAAAATGCAATAAAAAATTTTAAAAAAAGAAATACATAATAGATAATAAATAGAAATATGTATGTCTACATAGCATATATATGTTTTAAATATTAATATTCAATTGTTAAACATAGACAAATTGTTCCATTTGTGGGTAAATGTGCTATTATATACTAAATGAAATTAGCCAGACCTCAAAAGAAAAACACTACATAATTTAATATGGAATCTTTACAAGCTGAATACATAGAAATGGAGTTGAATAGTGTTTATTGGGGTGGGGAGAAAGTGGAAATGAGATGTAAGTCAAAGGATACAAACTTTCAGCCATGTAGGATGAATACATCTAGAGATCTGATGTGCAACATGAGGAATATAGCTAATAATACTGTATGATGTTTAAATTTGCTGCAACTGCAGATTTTAGGTACTCTCTTCACAGAGAAAAGATAATAAATGGTGAGGGATATGTTAATTTGCTTGACTATTATAATCATTTTATATGTATATCAATACATCTTGTAAACTTTAAATGTATATAATAAAAATGAATTTAAAATGAGAAATCTTTAGATTTGTAATAATGGTTACTGAAAGTCATTTAAAATTTAACATAAAAAATTTAAAATGTCTAATATATAATGACATAGAACATGCTGTAGGAAAAGGAAGTGCCAAGTTCAAAAGCATTTATATGCAAATTTTGAAAATACAGCAATTAGAAGTGTACCTTGAACATGGCTGATGTTTAACATATATTTTTGAAATTAAAAATGACTATCAGACATGATTGCTACTGTGATGTGACCTTTTGATTTTCTTTACTTTTGTCCATTTAATTTTTACTTTTACTCTGTTTTCCCATTTAAAAATACGCCCAGGATCAAATCTTATTCTCTCACAGCCATAGATATAATTTCAGAGAAAGTGAAAGAAGTGATGATATTGAGAGAATAACAAATATGTTTTTTAATGTTATATTATAGATAAACTAAACATACCTGAATTCACTCTCTTTTGTGACCATGTTTCCATTGTTATGCTTATAATACAGAATTATATATATATGTGTGTGTGTGGATATATATATATATATATGTATGTGTGTATATATATATATATATACACACACACGTATATGCTACTTAATAAATGTTGGCCAGTTTCACAATGGATGAATGGATAGAAGGAGGAAGGGATGGATGGTTGCATGATTCAATGAATAATAGTGGACATAAGTAACTGCTTAGATAACTAAGGCACAGGGATCATCTAGGAAGTGGCTGACAAGTTGGTGACATCTATAGCATCTGGAGTATGTTGGTTCACAGTAATTCCAGTTTTATTCTTATTTTTTCAACCTTTTTCACATTATCTCATAATAGCCAAGCTCATAAAACTGATAGAAAATTACTAATTTAATAATTTACAAAAAGAAATATAACTGCTAAATAGACAATATTTACAATTTTACATTGCAAGAAATTACTTGGAAAGTCAAAATATAAAGACAAGGTTGCTAATAAAATATAAATTAGTACAAGGGGAACTGAGGTAGATGTTTATGTCAAACTATGTAATGTCCAGTGAATACTTCACTATTAGTATTGCCAAATTTACCTTCTGTTGAAAATTATTTTCTAGAATAACCAATATTATTCTGAACAATTCACTTCCTAATTTTCAAATTAGTATCAAATTTTCTCTTAAACATTCGCTTTAACATGTTGCTGAGACATTCATTAACTGCTATTTTATTTCTTATCTAAATAATTGAATGTCATCACAAGAAGCATTTAAAAAATATGTTAACTTTTTTTTCTTTTATATGGTTTGTTACCAGCATTTAGAAGACAAGACCTAGGAAACAGGCTTTATCTGGGTACATATGCATGATATTAATATAGAAAATGTTAACCTGTTCTGACTATTACAAAAGCAGAACATTGAGAATATTCACAGAAAATATAACTTTTTGAATGTTAGAAAGCAACAAACATTTATTTATACAAGATAGGATACTAATGTCAGAAGAGATGCTTAATTCAGTTTATGGGGGGGAATATACATAAAAATAATTATTTGATATCACCTAAATTAAGATACATCAATTTCAGTAGTAGTGCTTTGTGAAGAAGAGTTTACAACCAGGGTAAGTTCTAGATAATTTTTGTTCTTTGGATCAATAATAAAAATAATAACAATTGTGTTGAAGTGAAATATTGTAAATGATATCTTTAAAACTGTTACTTAAATTGTTCTGGCAGTATGGCAGTTTTTATGTTCTGAAAAACTAATCAGTATTAAACACCTAGGAATGCTGAACAAATTTTGACAACTATATGTTTAAATGAGAGCTCTCAAGAGGCTAAAGAAAAATCCAAAGAGGGCCAAAACCAAAAGAAAACTAGCAGCAAAGTGAAAAACAAGAACTGAAGCACAGCTGTTCTATAGGTATATGATGATTCTGGAAGTATAAAACTGTGACTATTAATCATCACCTGGAGAAAGGAGGAAAGGTCATGGTGGACCAACCGGATTCCCACATACATCCTTCATCTTCAAACTACTACTACATTTCCTGTACACTCATGAACTAAATATATGTGTGTGTGTGTGTGTGTGTGTGTGTGTGTGTGTGTGTGTTTATATATATATATACCGCAGTAAAACAAACAAACAAGATGGTAAAGGTAAGTAAGGTTTTTTTCTGCTTTAGTTAAGACTTTGGGGGAAAATATATGCAATCATTGGCTTAAATTAAAAAGAGTTAGGGTTTGAATTAAGAATACTTACACAGTTTAGAAAGCCATAGTCCCCCCACCAAAAATTCACTCAAATTAGTAAAGTTTTATATAGAAGCAGAGGGGAGGGGAAGGGAGATGAGGGGGATGCAAGCCAGCCTTAAAAGTAACTAGAAAAAAAGACACAAAAAATACAGAAGGCAATGAAAATAATAATGATAGATTTCTTCTGGGAGAAAACAGTAGAACAATATATTTAAAGTATAAAAAGAAGAAACAAAAGAAAACAAAACAGTGAAAAAAATAAATAAAAGAAACATGTGAATCCAAAATTCTATACCTAATAAAATCATCCTTGAAAACCAAGGTGAAACAGACTTTAAAAATATGTATAAAATCTTAAATAATTCATCACCATCAGATGTCTAAAACAAACAAATATTAAGAAAGTCTTTTAGAGCAAAGGAAAATGATGCCAGATGGAAATCTGGATCCAAAAAAGGATTAAATAACACTGGAAATGGTAAGTATGTGGGTAAATACAAAAAACTTTCTTTTTATTATTATTTTAGTGACTTTGAAAGATAACTGACAGGCCAGGTGCAGTGGCTCATGCCTGTAATCGCAGCACTTTCGGAAGCCGAGGCAGGCAGATCACAAAGTCAAGAGATCGAGACCATCCTTGCCAATATGATGAAACCCTGTATCTACTAAAAATATGAAAATCAGCTGGGCATGGTGGATTTTCATGCCTGTGGGAGGCTGGGCAGGAGGATTGCTTGAACCCAGGACACAGAAGTTGCAGTGAGCCGAGATCACTCCACTGCACTCCAGCCTGGCACCTGGCAACGGAGCAAAACTCTGTCTCAAAAAAAAAAAAAAAAAGATAACTGACAGTGTAAATAATATTTTTTAAAATATATTGTGATGTTTATAACACATGTGAAATGAATTGTATGACAATAATAGAAAGGCTGAGAGAGGAAAATATAAGTATTTTAGTTCTTATGTTTTTTTTTTTTGAAGGAAAGAAAGAAACAAAATGAGTGAAGGAGAGGAAGAAAGAGGAAGAAAAAGAGGAAGAGAGAATGGGAATATTGCTTTATTCTAAAAATGGGTATTAATAATGGCTGATCAATATTTTGTGTATTTAAAGTGGAGAATGTTTATTTTGTGTATTTAAAGTGGAGAGCTCTATAAATATTTATTAAGTTTACTTGTTCCGGATCTGAGTTCAAGCCCTGGATATCCTTACTAATTTTCCGTCTCACTGAATCTAAATCTCTTTATGGGTCTTATGTATCTGGGTGTTAGGATCGTTAACTCTCATTTTTGCATTGATCCTTTTACCACTATATCTTTGTTGCTTTAAAATCTATTTTATCAGATGCAAGAATTGCAACTCCTGCTTTTTATTTATTTTTGCTCTCCATTTGGTTGGTAAATCTTTCTCCATCCCTTTGTTTTGAATCTTTGTGTATCTTTGGATGTGAAATGGGTCTGGATGTAGCATACAGTTAGGTTCTGGCTGTATCTTTTTATTGGGGAATTTAGTCGATTTAAATTTAGGATTACTGCCATTTGATGTTAACTGGCTATTTTATCCATTCATTGATGTAAATTCTTCTTTATGTTGATGCTGTTTACTTTTTGGTATATTTTTAGAAAGTCTAATACTGGTTGTTCCTTTCTATGTATAATGCTTCTTTCAGAAGCTCTTGTAAAGCAGGCCTAGTGAAAATAAAATCTCTGAATACTTGCTTGCTCATAAAAGATTTTATTTTTCCTTCAATTGTGAAGCTTAGTTTGGCAGGATATGAAATTCTGGGCTGAAAGTTCTGTTCTTTAAGGATGTTGAATATTGGCCCCCACTCTCTTCTGGCTTGTAGGGTTTCTGCTGAGAGATCTGCTGTAAGTCTAATAGGCTTCCCTTTCTGGGTAACCTGACCTTTCTCTCTGGCTGCCCTTGGTATTTTCTCCTTCGTTTCTACCCTGGCGAATCTAAGATTATGTGCCTTGGGGTTGCTCTTCTTGAGGAATATCTTTGTAGTGTTCTCTGTATTACCTGGGGTTGAATATTGTCCTGCTTTGCTAGATTGGGAAAGTTTTCCTGAATAATATCCAGAATAGTATTTTCCAACTTGGATTCATTCTCTCCGTCACATTCAGGTACACCTATCAAACGTAAATTAGGTCTTTTTACATAGTCTCATATTTCTTGGAGACTTTGCTCATTCCTTTTTATCCTTTTTTCTCTATTCTTGCCTTCTCATTTTATTTCATTAAGTTGGTCTTTGACCTCTGATATTCTTTCTTCTGCTTGATCAATTCGGCTATTCAAACTTGTGCATATTTCGCTAAGTTCTTGTGTTGTGTTTTCCAACTCTGTTAGTTCATTTATATTCCTCTCTATATTGTCTATTCTTGTTAGCATTTCTTCAAACCTTTTTTCAAAGTTCTTAGTTTCTTTACATTGGGTTAGAACAAGTTCTTTTAACTCTCAGAAGTTTCTTATCATCCACCTTCTGAAGCCTACTTCTGTGAATAGAACACAGTCCTTTTCCGTCAGGGCTTGTTCCATTGCTGATAAGGAACTGTAATCCCCTGTATAGGGAGAGGGGTTCTGATTTTGGGTATTCTCAGCCTTTTTAGGCTGGTTTCATCCCTTTGTTATAAATTTATCCATCTGTCATCTTTACAATTACAGCCTTTCTAATTACGTTTCTGAGTGGACGTAATTTATTGATTCCCAGTGCTGGAATCCAAGCAACCCATTGCGCCGGCCAAAACAGCGGTGTTAAGAACATAATGTTCTTATACTATATGTGAAATAGTATAATACCAACTGAAAATAGATTGTATTGAATTAAACATGTATTCTACAAAAACTAAAGAACCACTAAAGTACAAAAATATTACTAAGAGAAATTAAGGAATACCAAAATTATTGGGGAGTTATGCCAGGTTCCTGGATCAAAAACTGTAAAGTGTTAAGATGTCAATAGTCAAAATACACTGAAACAAATAGGAAACTAATTAAAGAACTTATACTATCTGATTTCAAGACCTGCTATTATGAAACTGTGATAAAAAATATAGTGCTGCATTTGAGATACAAAAATAGGTCAATAGAATAAAATTATATGACAAGAAATAGACTCATGCATAAATAGTGAATTAATTATTTAGCATTCAAGAAAAATACTAAATCAATTCAGTATAGAAAGGATAAACTTTTCAACAAACAATGAAACAATTAGATATCCAAACACAGCAATAAAAACCAAATGTTTCATAACTTGTACAATATAAAAATTAACCCAAAATAAACCAAAGATCTGAATTTTAAAACTAAAGTAAAACTTCTGGAATGTATGAGAAAATTTATGTGTAAGCATCTTCTTTTTTTTCAGTATATGATTCAATTTATATAAAGTTGAACAACAACACAAACTAATTAATATTTCTAGATACTATAATAGAGATTACCTCTAAGTAAGCAAGGATGAGGTTAGTAGTGGTGGCATGTATTGAAAAGGAGTGCAAATATACGTACACTGTAATGAGATGTTCAGTGTCATTGTTGTATAGAATACTTTTAGGTTCATAGCAAAACTGAGAGGACAGAACAGAGATTTCTCACATACTTCCTGACCCTACACATTCATAGCCTCTCCCACTATGAGCATTCCCCACCAAAGTGATACTTTAGTTGCAATAGATAAACCTACATTGACTCATCATTATCACCCAAAGTCCATAGTTTATATGAAGGTTCACTCCTGCTGTTGTATGTTCTATGAGTTTGGACAAATGTAAAACTATACAAATCCATAATTAAAGTATTATTGTGGTAGTTTCACCACCTGTACTCTTCCTATGCATCCCTCTCTCCGCCATATGCCTTGGCAACACTGATCCTTTTACTGTCTCTATACTTTTGCCTTTTTAACAATATCTTACAGTTGGAATCATATAACATGTAGCATTTTTAGGTTGCCTTATTTCACTTAGTAGCAGGCATTTAAGTAATCATTATGTCTTTTCATGGTTTGATAACGCATTACTTTTATTGCTGAATAATGTTCCCTTTTATGGATGTATCAGATTATTTATCCGTTGAACTAGATAGGGACATTGTGGTTCCTTCCAACTTTTGGCAATTATGATTAATGATGATGTAAAGATCTGTGCACATAAGATTTTTACTCTTTTGAG